ATCTATATAACTATATATATTTATAATATAATATAAATATATATGCTTCTATATGCGCACTCCGTGTGCGTGCGTTGCGTATATAAAGTGCGATTGCACTCACATATAACCTTAGTAATCGCCAAACTCACACTATATATATATATATAAAACAAGTCAAGGTATAGAATAAGGGTTTTAAAAGTTTAATGAGCAAAAGTCTGATGAGAACTAGCATGCTTTTCATCAGTCAGCAGAGCATGGAAATAGAACAAATAAATGCAAAACACAAATACAATGCGTTAGATATAAAGACAAAACAAATGAATGAGTCACACAATTCGCGCATGCCATGAATTCGGACGACAAAAGAACCACGCACAAATATTATAACACCACACACCAAAGACACACACCCACACAGCCGCAGCAGCAGACACACACCCACAACACAACACAACACACCCACACACACACAATATCACACATACAGCACAACACACTCACACGAGCACACACACACAGCCGCACACACACACACACACACACACGACACACACACCACACACAACACACCAAACAACCGCCCACACACACGAGGCATGGACTCAACCAATACACACGTAAGTAAGTTATAGCGTTCAGCCCGCTGGATTCAAACAACCAACCGTCAAATTAAATTTTGCTGCAGTCATGTGTCGAACGGAAGCTATTGTAATATGTGTCCTTGCAGCCGGCACAGACAGCACACGCATGCATGTGGTGATCGGCGGTTGCGTTAAAATGATCAGCAAACCGGAAAACCAAATGGCAAATTAAGGCCGAGGGCGGGGCTGGGCGAGCATCTAGCGTGTTCAACAAACCTATCCGGACAGGCGGCGTTTCTTGTTTCGCCAATATAGTAAATTGGCATCTAACGCATGTCAGGTGCGTAAATGAGGGTCGTCGACAAACGCATGAAAATGAAATCGCCGCACGATAAAATTGCCCCGAGGCCGCTGAACAGCAAACCTATCTGATAAAAAAATGGCAAAGTAACGCAAGGTACTCCGCCACACGGGTATGACCCAGGTTGCTCACGGGGTTGCAGAGTTGAAACGATGCTTGAAAAGCAAGAGTCCGCCGGAAGTAGTATCACGCCTCTACGAGCGCAAAATGTGGTGCGAAAGATGTTAACTGGATGATCGTTGAAGAAAATTTAAATTATCAATTAACACCACACGTTGAATGGCAGGATTGAAGGTGATAGTTAAAACCAATGGACTCTGTCGCCGTTTTATTCACAACCGCATTTCGATAGGTATAAACGACGCCAGATTTAAGGAAGTATCTTTTTAATTTTTAGATGAGATCAGATGATTATAGCCACGCGGGAAACATCACGGTGTGTGTGGTGGTGTGGGGTGTGTGTGATGTGGTGTGTGGTGTGTGTGTGTGTGGTGTGTGTGTTGGTATGTGTGTGGCGGTGTGTTGTTGTGTGTGGTGGTGTGTGTGTGTGTGCGTTGGCTGTGCTGGCTGGTGTGTGTGTGTGTGTGTGGTGTGGTGCGTTTGTGTGTGGTGTGGTGGGTGTGTGTGTGTGGTTCGTGGTGTCTGTGTGTATGTGTGATGTGCTTGGCGCGCGCGTGTGTGTGTGTTGTGCAGGTGTGCGCGCGTGTGTGTTGGTGCGCGCGCGTGTGTGTGTGTGGGTGGGGGTGGTAGGTGTGTTGCGGCGCAGTGTGTGCATCGTGTGGGCGTGCGTGTATGTGTGCATGGTGTGTGTGCGTGCGTGTGTGTGTGTGCGTGCGCGCGGTGTGTGTGTCGTGCGCGCGTGTGTGTGTGTGGCATTGGTAGTGCGTGTGGTGTTGTGTGTGTGTGCGTGTGCGTGTGTGCGTGCGTGTGCGTGTGTGCGTGCGCGCGTGTGTGGAGGTGTACGCGTGTCGTGTGGGTGTGCGTGCGCGCGTGTGTGTGTGTGCATGTGTGTGTGCGTGCATGTGTGTGTGCGCGCGCGTACGTGTGTGTGTGTGTGCATGTGTGTACGTGCGTGTGTGTGTGTGCATGCTGCTTGTTTATATGCATGCGTGGGTGGACACACTTACATTTTAACCGAGGGCGGACAGACCTACTATCGATCGCTATCGATTCGACTGACAACTGATCATCGCGTCATTCTAAGCGTCCTCCTATCTTTAAATGGTCCTGTCCCTTATCGTTTGCCTTCGCCGAACATGACCTGACGTGGTCGGACATGGTTTGCGATGGTACGTCATGTTTAAATTGTTGGACGTTGTCTGCCATCGTTTGCCATACACGCCTCTGTCTCGTAAAATATGCTCACGTGTGGTTTGATTTTCGAATTAAGTACTTCTGCTCGTGTTGTTGCTAATCATTGAATAGAAATCAATATCATAGTTGTTACGCGCTCTCGAGAACAATTCCGCAAGTGACTCATGCATTCGTTAAGGTAAGTAGGTTACGCTGTGTATCGAACGAGTATTAATCACCGACAGTACCAACCCGCTACGTTGCGTTCCATTCTTCATAATTTATGCAATTATAAAACATGACTTACCTCGACAACCCAGGGGACCCGAGCGTGTGTATCTGCTTAATCTGAGCCAATCATTTTCCTCAGTGCTAAACAAAACTTGCTTCGCCCGAATGTTTTCTGCTTCCCTAGGATGTAATGGTTGGTCATAATATGATTATGTTTAGGCGTCTGCATGGCTTCTTACTGATTCTGATGTTTTTCCAGTATTTATTGTACCGCCGAGCATTCCAGCCCTTTTACTCACATATTATCGATATGAAATATTTGTGAAATGCGATGATGATGATGATGATGATGTTGTTGTTGTTGCTGTTGATGATGATGATGATGATGATGTTGATAATGATGGTGATGATGATAATGATGATGATGATTATGATGATTATGATCATTATATTGATGATGATGATGATGATTATATTGATGATGATGATGATGATGACGATGATGATGATGATTATGATAATGATGACGATGATGATGTTGATGATGATGATGATGATGATGATGATATTGATGATGAGAACGATAATAATAATAATAATAGCAATAATCTATTTTAGTGTTTTAACATGAAAAGCTTAAATATACTGAGACTATAATCCATGCGGTAAAGGCGATGTGGAAATACTGCAATCCATCGCGTGCAGGAAAGCTTTATGACCACTAAAATACTGAAGATTATGATTTTTTTCTTCGTCCTAATGTGTATCTTATGTCTTATGTATGTCTTATGTATGTCTTATGGCTTAATGTGTATCTTATGTCAACGCATACTAATCTATTTTTGGCAAAGTGCGAGAGATACATCAGAGCGTTCTAATATTAATATCGAAATTCAACCTATTATATATATTTTAAGAAACATTAGTCACAAGTTGAAGGCGATATATCTAAAAAAGACTGTAGGTGTACAGTTACATAACATTTACCGACAGTATGTGGTACGTCTGACGTTGGGAATTATTGGCGCTACTATGTTTGCGATCATCAACGTAACTGAATCTTACTCATCTAGGTTTTTGTAATAATCCTTACATCCGAAATCAACCGCTAAGCACCACCCCTGCTAGATATAATCGTCACAACAACAAGGGGCGTATTTACGCGTTTTCATGCTCGTTTGGAAAGTTCTAAAAACTAGAATTATCATTTATACAAGACTGGGGAGTTCTGATGGAACAGTGGGCGTCCACTGTGATCACATGAAATGTTTTCCCACCCACGATCAATGACCACATACTAAATTAATGGTAGATGGCCACGAACCCTTATTTGCCTCTCTGTAAACGTATCACTCAGTTTCTGGCTATCGTGTGAAACATTAGGCCTATCTGTATAATAGGTACACTTTTAATCTCTAACCCGTGTGTGAATAAATTATACCAGACCCCACATAAAATATTTTTTAAAGCAAAATTAAAAATTGAGCCTCATAATTAATATGTTAAAAGTGAGTTGAAAACGCCTGGTAATAAAATAAACTATATTTGAGTGTCGTTATGGTGTACTAGTAGCTCCTCACTGTAAGTAGATCTCGTAACCTCACCTAATCGGGTGGCACAGGGACTAATAATTCACATATTGACTGTGAATATAATACATAGATGGCAGCACATGCTGACGAAGTCAAAAATCCGTAATGTAACATAGGATCAAGAGCGTATAGAGAAGGCCTTCTTATATACAAGAGCCTTCTTTATACGCTCTTGATAGGATATGACGGTCTATGGTTTCATCAAGTAATTCAACAAATGTTTCTACGCAACCTTCTATAAAACAATGTTCTAACTGCAATTCTGAGCAGCATCACAAGACTAAGCCACAGGCTGTATCTCTGAAAATAAAGGTTAGCGAGTTGCTTTTCTATTCAAATAATTGTTATATGTTGTATGTTCTTGAAAAATCCTCTATAGATAAGTTTTCCAATATTGTGTGAAATGTCTATATCTTGGTCGAGTGTTCAAAATTGAATCCGGGCTTTACTACACAATAGGGAAGAAACGGCTTGCAATATTACAATATTACTTTCAAATATAACGTCGATAAGGCTTTTTTGGTAAACTTTTTTTAAGAACCTACTTATAACCTTATTATTAACGTTTTAAAAACGTTATGTGTTAGCTAGGTATTTACATTTATTCATTTATATTTTATA